CTCCCTCCCTCCCTCCCTCCCTTCCCTTTCTTAATTTGGGGCAGGATCTCATTATGTACTCCTGGCTGGCCTGTAACTCACTGTGTAGATCAGGTAGATTCAGAGATCCACTTACTTCTGACTCCAGGGCTGAGATTAAAGGCTGATGCCATCATACACTGCACTCCTTTCTAAAGTAGACGTTGAGAAAGCAGTTTGCTGGTCACATTTTTATTTTGTGTACTCGTATGCACATGTGGGCATGTGTCAGAGGAACCTCTCAGGAGTTGGCTCCCTCCTTCCTTCCACTTATGTTTGCTAACAAGTGCCTTCACCTGATGAACCATCTGGCCAGTCCACTTTTTGTTCTGTTTTGTTTAGACAAGGTATCACTAGCTCTGGCCTGCCTTAACCTCACAAAATCCACCTGCCTCTGCCTTCCTAGTGTTGGGAATAAAAGCACATGTCATCTACACCCAGCAAAAAGTCAGTTTTGTGATAATTATTTTTTCAAGTTATTTTGGAACTACACGTGTCATCATCCTGTAGTGGCTTTTAGACACAGGACAGCCAGGCAACAACCTGCAAACAGCAGACACGTGGCCTGTCGCCAGGATTAGAACCTCACAAGAGGACCATTCTGTGCCAATGGACACACACAGTTGGCTCAATGCCCAGCTCTAAGACATGTGGACCTATAATTTCAGGCAGCATTTTCTGGATCCCTCCACCTTCCTTAGATCCTTTTCTAGAGCCCGTGTCTCCCTTGTACAGGCTGCTGGGAGAATTAAGTTAGTCCACAAAACCCACTTAGGACAGTTCCTGTTGAGGTTCGCCCTCAGCGCCTCTGCCCTATTATTTGACACAATATTGGATGTAAAAGAACTAGTCAAAAAGAAAAAAAGAGATCTGACCTAACACATTTACAGTGTGTTTTTATTTTTAATTGTATGTGCACGAGTATTTGCCTGCATGTATGTATGTGCATCATATGCATGCCTGATGACCATGGAGGTCAAAAGAGGGTGTCAGATCCCTGAGAACTGGAGTTACAAACTGTTGAGAGCTCCCATATGGGTGCTGGGAACAAAAGCAACAAGTGAGTCACCTCTCCAGCCCTCACAATGTCTTTAGTAAGATTCGATGTGTAAGGCTCATAAACTAGCAGTAAGCAGTGTGAAACAAAAGGTGCCCAGGAATCAAATGTATTGCCACTGTTATTAAAAAAGACATTTGAGGAAGAAAACGAATGTGAAGCAAGGAAGCACTGAGGCCACGAAAGGCAGGCTGGGGAACTTAGGGAGTTTTTCACCCACTGCATTAAAACCACTCTGTACAAATAATTTAACGTTCTGACATCTTTGTGTCCTACATGAACCCCGGCAAGGACAGCAGACCTCAGGTGGGAGTGACCCTGGTGGCAGAGAGCCTGCCTGGTGCATATAAAGCCATGGGTTTGGTCCCATGCACTATAAATAAATAAACTATAAATAAATAAACAAACAAACAAACAAACAACGAGTCCTAATTCTTACTACTAAACGTAATAGGGATAACGTACTGGTATAAACAGAAATAAGAGCAGGGCTAGAGAGATGGGTCGGTGGTTCAGAGCACTTGTTGCCCCTGCAGGACTCCACTTTGACTCTAGGACCCATGTGGTGACTTTCGACCATCTGAACTCTATTCTATCAGACCTGATGCTCTCTTCTCACCTCTGCGGGCACCAGACACGCAGGTATTCTGCATACATACACACAAACAAAACATTCATACACAGAAAGTAAATGTTTCTACATTGTTGTAAATAGTTACTATCACTAATAATTATAATAACTCATAAACCTTTAGCAGTTTACTATGTATCAACACTCTCCTAAATGTTCTTGGGTTTTTGTTGTTGTTGTTGTTTGTTTTTTTTCTTGGTTTTTTGAGACAGGGTTTCTCTGTGTAACAGCCCTGGCTGTCCTAGAACTTGCTCTGTAGACCAGGCTGGCCTCGAACTCAGAGAGATCTGCCTGCCTCTGCCTCCCGAGTGCTGGAATTAAAGGTGTGCGCCACCACTGCCTGGACCCTAAATGTTTTATATTTGTTACATGATTTAAGTACTCCCCAAATACTTCTCTATAAAAATATTATTATTATCCACACTATTCAAATGAAAAGCCAAGACCATAGTCCCATATACAGTAAAAATAGGTTTCAAATACACGTTTTGGTCAATAACCTCAGCTCTTAAAGAGTAATTTCCCCCAGTTCTTCAATATGTGAAGTAAGTAACAAAAAAGCGATATTCCCTCCTGCACATTTTCCCACTCTCCTTCCCAGAGCTGACCCTTCGGTGGCAGACTAAACAACTGCACTGCTCTTCTAGCCATTGTAATCTATACTTCCTTTGGAGACAGGGACCTTAAACTTCCAATCCTCCTGCCTCCACCTCCTCAGTGGCAGTATTACACATGGCCACCATATCTGATTTTACACTGAACTGGGGATCAAACCTTGGGCTCTGTATGTGCTAAGCAAGTACTCTACTAAGTGATCTATAACCCTAACCCTGTAATCTGTACTTTGTTTTTTTAATATACAGTGTTCTGTCTACATGTATACCCGCAGCCAGAAGAGGGCACCAGATCTCATTGCAGATGGTCGTGAGACACCATGTGGTTGCTGGGAATTGAACTCAGGACCTCTGGAAGAGCAGCCAGAACTCTAACTGCTGAGCCATCTCTCCAGCCCTGTAATCTGTACTTTTACTGTACTTTTAAGTAAATAAAATTGCTACATAATTTCTGATAAACTCTTCCTTTTATCAAAGTTTAAAAAGGGGGGGGGCGCTGGTAAGATGGTAAAGGCCCTTCTACCAAGCTCGATGACAGCAGTTTCGATCCCTGGAACACAGAGTAGATGAAGAAACCTGATAGCTCCAAGTTGTCCTTTGGCCCTAGACTGCACACGTACATCATCAGGACACACTCATGCCCACACACGTGCTAACTAAATAAACACACTGTTCTCTTGAAGGCGGAGAGCTGGTAACGCAGCTCAGTCAGGGAAAGGCTTGCTGAGCAAACTTGAGGGCCTGAGTCTGCGCCCCAAGACCCATTTACAAAGCGAAACACAGCGGTGTACTGGGGAGGGGACCGCTGGACCCCAAGGGCTTGCTGGCCTGCAGACCTAGCCGAATTGATGAGCTCCAAGTCCAGTAAGACTTGTCTCAGTTTTGTTTTTGTTTTTGAGAGAGCATTGAGGATGACACTGATGTTGACCTTTGGCTTCCATATCATATACACTAAACACACACACACACACACACACACACACACACACACACACACACACGCACGCACTAAAGATAAACTTGATGAACGCTATTTTTTTTATAATTTATGTTCATTAGCATTTAACCTGCATGTATGTCTGTGTGTGGGTGTTGGATCTCCTGGAACTGGAGTTACAGACAGATGTGTGCTGCCATGTGGGTGCTGGGAATTGAACCCAGATCCTTTAGAAGAGCGCCAAGGTTATTTTTTGTTTTGTTTTGTTTGAGACAGGGTTTCTCTGTGTAATTGCTCTAGCTGTCCTGAAACTCTGTAGACTAGGATGGTCTCAAATGCCTCTGCCTCCTGAATGTTGGGATTAAAGGTGTGCACCACCGCCTCCGCCACCCCTCCCACGACCACCTCACCCTCCCACCCCCCGACCCCCCACCCCGGCTGCAGCCAGTGCTCTTAACCACTGAGCCATCTCTCCAGCCCCTTGATGAATGCTTTTTAAATTTTTGTTGCAGCTATCCATATACAGAAAGGAAAAAAAAGAAAGTGGGAAGAAGTTGAAAATTATTAACTAAAGTTGCAGACTCTTATTTTTCATGGGAAGATTGATAATTTTAAAAAGTGTATCAAACCAGGCATGGTAGATCACATCTTTAATCTCAGCATTCAGGGTGCAGAAGCAGGTGAATCTCTCTAGTCTATGTAGTAAGTTCTAGGCCAGCCAGGGCTATACAGAGACCCTATTTCAAAAAAATCATGTCATCTTAAGACTCATCACAAACAAAAAGAAATACTATACAGAGTTCTTGGGGGAGGGGCTGGAGAGATGACTCAGCAGCTAAGAGCACTGGCTGCCCTTCCAGAGGACCGGGGTTCGGTTCCCAGCACCCACATGGTGGTCCACAGCCATCCTTAACTCCAGTTCTATGAGATCCTACACCCCTCTTCTGGTCTCCTTGAGGCACCAGGCACAGACGTGGTGCACATACATACATGAAGGCAAAACATCCATACACATAGAATAAAACAAATAAACCTAAAAAGAAATAAAAAGAGTTGTTGAGGTCTTCCCATGAAGACTCCAAGAGAACATAATCTCGGGGAATATCCTTGGCAACATTTGATTGACAACTAACTGCTTACCTTGCTACCACTGAAATAGATTCCTTTTAGTTCCAACCAAACTTCCCTAGATTTTAAGTCCAGAAACCGCATAAATAAAAAACTTCCAGGGAACATGTTAATATAACCAAATATATCTTTAAAATCATTACATAAACACATCTACTTAAAACTGTGTTATTAGTACTGCGTATCTGAAACTCCAAACAGTTTCCACACAGTCAGTCAATGGAAGAGCATGAATACCCAAAGCTCCTCCAGTAAATAGAATCCACCATACTAAAGGGCCGAGTCTATTTGAAATAACCACATTTTAACAACTAGAGAAAAGCAGCTGACCATAACACAGGCTCTCCAATGTCCAGAACAGATCCTTTATTTCACCAGGAAAAACAGGGAATCAAGATGTTTCTTTATGTGAACTGTTACATGGAGCATTTCTCTACATTTATGATAAATGTAGTCACAACCTGTTTCCATAGCAACAAGAGTAGAATGCATGCGGTCTATGGAAATGA